AATAATGACATTTAATATTGATAAAGTATAAAATATAATAATAAATTTTGATTTTTATGTTTAATATATTACAATCGTTCAAATTGATCGATATCGTTATGATAAATTTGATCAGCATCATTGCGATAAATTTGATCAACATGTTTATCAATTTAATTGGTTAATTTATTAGTACCTCAGTATTAATCAAAAATTTTATTTTTAGTGATTGAATAGTATCCGTTACTATTTAAGGGGGATATTTTGCAAAGAGGTACTAATGTCAGCGCTATACGATATGATTGAATTATACCCTAGTATTATTCATAGGGTGTACTTTGTAAGGGGGTACTATAGGCAACGCTGTACAGTACTATTGAGATATAGCCTTTATGCTATATTCAGATACATATTAGTATTAGGGTAGTCCAATATTTATATAATAGATTATGCAGAAGACTACCCTAAATATCACCTATTAGGAACATGTTTATCCACAATTTTTTTACTATCTTGCTATACGTCTCTTTTTTCAGAAGACAAAAAAATTAGGTCTAAAGAAGTGTTTATACCATATTGAGTATATATCTGGAAAAATAAGTCTTCTGCCAATATTTTTGCAGACTTGCCTATTCTAGATATCATATATACTTGAATACATACTAGTGTTAGAATATCCTTCTTCCATTATTTTATATAAAGATTCCAAAAAGGCTATACCCGAGTATATATCTAGAAAGTATAAGTCTTCTGCCAATATTTTATATAATGATTACACAGAAAACTTATTTTCTGTATATATGTCTACTTGTCTTACTTTTACAATTTATTTACTAGCTTGATATACGTCTCTTTTTTCAAAGAACAAAAAAATCAATTAAACATTTCAAAAATATATTGTGATATAATATATTTACTTATTACTAACATGCATACTACTATTATTTTTGATCAAACTATGAGCATTAGAACCAGCACACTCGTCTGCTACAATAGCGCTAAGTTCTTATCTGGCATTCTATCACACAATAATATTATGGTAGAATATGATAACGGGATGACCAATATATTTTAATAAAGCCTATCCAGCAAGTAACCCATATATTTTATACCTACAGATATGAGTAAGGAAGCTGAATTCTCTTATATTTTACATATTAATGGTACTTTAATTAATGGGCAAAAGGCAATTATAGATATTACAGGCATTAAACCCTTTTTTAATGTTGAAATACCAGAAAACTATTCCCCTCTTCATTTAAGACTATATTAGCATGCATTTTATCTGCTACTTTCAAGAACACATCAAAGTTTAGGTTTAAGGATATTTGCACTTTTCCACTTCAAGAATATCATACAGAAAAGAAAGCATATATTTGTGTAAACACTTGAAATCATTTTAATCAGTATAATTCATTAAAAACCGTTCGAGAAGTTGGTATTCATACTGCTTCTGATGATCTAACTTCTAAATATTATTAACGTAAAGTAGTCTATGAAGAAATATTAATTCTTTCAAGTTAGGCAGTATTAAGTAACTATTAATATATATTATTAGTAAATACTTATTTCTTCTGAGTATCTATGAGTAATTACAATCCAATAAGTGATAACAAGTATAACAATCCACTAATTTCTTTAGCGCTTACAAGGAATCAAACTCTGGTTCTCATATAAGATATAAAGACATATAGTTCGCTTGGACTAGACAAAATTTCTTACTGCACTGAGCGATGAATCTAGCGTATTTATGATCAGTATGTCTGTTCATTAGAAAGATAATCCTAATTCATTAAAACAAATTTGTTTTATCGATGTTAAAACTACATCAGACAGGCACTAGATCACAGTTATGTGTAGGAACCAAGCTAATTTACTGAAAGAATTTGCATTATGTTAGAAGAATCAAGCTTCAGATATAGAAATAGGTTTTAACGATTTACAATATAATTGGAGATTTATTGTAAAGAAAGTGAAAAGTTAGGTATCTCGAATGGATGTTCAATCAAATGTTATTTAAACTTTTGAGCCTTGAAAAATTACAAAATGGCAATATCAGTATAATAAGATAAAAGTTAATAATAAGGATTTCTATTTGAAGCATTTTAAAATCCCTAGATACGTAGCTATTGATGCTAGATCATGTTTATAAAATTCTATCCTAAGGCTAAAAAGAGCAGTTTAGCATATTACCTAAAGGAATATGAACTTGATAACAAGCTGGATATGCCTTTCTATCATATGTTTAAGTATTATAGAAGGGCGTTAAAAGAAACCAATACTACAACGGCTGAGCAAATGTATGAAGTAGCTGAATATTATATTATCGATACTATTAACTATCAACAGTTAATGGTAAAGCATAATGCAATTAATGAATACAGAAAGGTAGCATCCATAGCTTTCATATCATTATATAATTCACATTATTTTGCAGTAGGAATAAAAGTGTATAATCTTTTAAGTGCTGATGCATAGTGGGAAGAGATTTTAACTAACACAATTTCATATAAATAAATGGAAACAGGGAAGTACCCTGGGGTCTATATTTTTTCACCAGTAAAGAATCTCAAAAATAGATGATCTGTAACCAGCTTAAACTTTACATCATTATATCCAAGCCTTATTATTATATATAATCTCTCACCTGATAAAATCATTTTGTCTCAAAAGTGTACTGAATCTCTAAAGAAAAGCGGTAAAAAGCTTCATAAAATTAATTTCAAATACAATGGTCAGGATGCTTTCACATGGTCTATAGAGCATAGAAACTAAGCTGAAATGAAAGGTCTTTATCCAAAAGTATTAGAGAAGTTATTTATTAGAAAAAATTCTCTAAAAAGACGTCTTAGTTTATTAAATAATAGAAAAGAAGAATTAGAAAAGGAGATTAATTTGGCAGAAGCAAGGGGTGAGAATATTACAGATACTTTAAAATCTAAATACTCTTCAGTTTTCTTTATTGTCGCCTGTCTAGACGCGAAACAACTCACTTTAAAAGTGTATATGAATACGTTTTACAGTAAAGCCAGAAATATCAATCCTTTTTCTTCTTACGAGCATTAGCAGGTGGGGTAACATCAGCTGGTCAATAGAATATCAAGCTTATTGTGCTGACCTCATCAGAAGTATAAGGTTCAGTGTAAAATACGGGAATACAGATTCCTTATATCTTGTCTGTTTAGAAGAGTGCTTTCAGAAATGTGATGAGGCATATGACAATGATAATGAGATTTTGAAAGAAGAATATTAGTCTAGAATGGTAAATATCTCAATAGAAAAAATAAAAAGACTTCATGATGAAGTTAATAACTTTCTCAGAAATAATAATAGATCATTTTATCTCAAAATAGCGTATGAGGTGTCTTATTTCTGGTAGTATTTACTGAAAAGAAAAATACTACAGCATTCCATATAGAAGTCAGTCCAACTTTAATAATAAGCTTTTCATTTGAAGGGTTGAGATTATAAAGCAGAATCAGTCTAAACACTTTCGTGAGGTAGGTAAGAAGATCATGAAAGAATCTATGAGATTGGATAATACTCGCACCTTACGTCAGATTATGAAGGATATGCTTAAAGAGACCATAAATGATATTTCACAAATAGATCTTAATGGATTGATTAAAACTGCTATGTAGAAGCCCGATAAAAATAACAAGAGTATTTAGCATTTCATTTCATAAATATAAGATAGATATATCAATGAAGAAGCAGATGCCAAACAGCGTATAAAAAAGAGCCTAACACTTAAGTCTTATCTTTATAAATCCCAGAACCAGACAAACGCTTTGAGTATATTGTAGTTGAGAATAATTCATCACAGAAGTTAGGAGATAAAATGGAGTATCTAGAGGTAATAAGGCAGTTAAGTAAAAAGATCAATATCAGCTATTATCTAAAACAGTTGTTGTCTTCTATGCATGATTTATTAACTATGATGAAATATTTCAGCTATTATCTGAACTTATACTAGGAGTCTTAAAAAAGTTAAAAGATGGTAATAAAATGAGTGATAATAAAGCAGATGATGATGAGGTGAATGAAAACGATCTGAACAAAGATAAAGAGGGTGAAGATGAAATAGATGAAGATGAGATATCAAAAATAAGAGATGTCTTAGTGCAGAAATTGGCTGAAAAGTGGATTAGGAAGTTTATCAAAACCTACGTGATAGTCTGAAAAAGATAAAACTATCATATCTCATTTATGGGAAGGAACACGCATTTACGCGAAAAAATTATTTGATACTACTTATATCGACAAGGGAAAACACCTGACTAAGAATGCTTATTATTAATCATTCCTTAATGCATTAAATAAACAAGAAGAATCCATCCACTTAAAACTTTCATCATTGCTTAAAAAAATTTCCAAGGTTGATATAGAGTATAGAGACAGTATGTATAAATTAGTTACTAAGAAGTGAGCAATATTCTTAGAATAATATTTAACATCATATTATTTGGATGAGTGTAAGCTATTAACAGATTTCTAAACACATAGTACAAAGTGGTTGGCCTAGAATCACACGCTACTGAATGTTATCAAAATTATAGGATGGTAAAAAAGATGATTCATCTGAAGTAGATATAGATGATATCATCGAATTATATGAATAAGTATTCAGCTGAAATTACCACACCTCCGCTAGAATACTTATAATATGGGAGCGTTTCCAGTAAAATCACATTACGGATCATATGATTTACTATGTCTCATGACTTGATTTTACTGGAAATGTTCCCATATAATTTATATATTTTTTCTCATACAATAATACTGAATAACTAATTTCTATCTTCAAACTTCCAGCTTCTGATCACACATCCCGATCTCAGATATACTAGGAGATGATTTGGGATAATCATTAATATTTTTTAGAGAATAATTTGGCAAAACCGTATCCTTAAAATACAATCAGCCAAAAAAAATCTACACATTTTAAAGATAGCTTTATTGATATAATGGCTGAACTATGTAACCAAGTTTTCCAGTACATAGGCTTTGAACCTAATGAAATCCATCTCCTGATCACAGAAGAGGATAGGCAGGTATTTCAAAAATAATATCAGAATAGAAAGGATAGGAGATATTGTAATGAATGACTACTGATTTTTGCTACATCATAAGCATAATGGTAAGGGTGATAACCAGATCCATATTAGCTGGTTATTAGCATATATAGCATCCTAAGCTAAAAAAGTCTTAATAAATCCATTTAAAGATTTACCAGAAAAGCTATTAGCTCACACTAAGGTTGCTGGATGAAATCTAGAGTTTAGATAGATGTCTAAATGATAAAGGTAAAATTTGGATAAATTATATTAAAACCTTATTAAAAAATCTGCGAAATTCAGAAAAAGGTAAAACTATATCAAAGCTTATAAAAATGACGAAACTATATCAAATACTTAGTAAAAATTTAGTGAATCTAAAAGTCTAGACATTTAGCCAAATCCAAAATGAGTTTAGACAAGCAACCTTAGCTCATACCAAGAAAAGATTTGAAGAAATTCTACATACAACAGTACTTATATGGTAGTTGATTAGGATTGAGATAAAAAAAATTTTTTTCTTAGCATTTTTCTAAGACATTATATCCCAAAATTTTTTTCATAGGCGAGATATTGCCCATGTATTTAATAGTTTTTTCACAATAATGATTAATATAATTATAATTAGAATTAAAAGTGTTATTGAATAGGTAAGTAAAGATAACAATAATTTATCTGTAATGATAGAAAAGTCTAATAGTTTCACCATTCCTTTTACGTCACTTACTGAAATCTCATTTGCCAAAGTGATAGGTAGGATTGGCTTTAGAAGGTTAGATTTCGAATTCACGCTATTTGAATCACTACTTATCTTTTATTGGATAGGACTATCCAGAATGTCTATAACTGAAGAAGCACTATGTTCATTTTTTTCGTCACTATTTTTCACATGTGAATCTGATAGATTATTCTTATTAGAGGATTCTAGGGTCAATAAATTAATTACAGACTGAGTGATTTCACTTCCTCTGATTTTGCAAAGTTATCAACTTCGGCTTTGGCAAGAGATATTTCTGTACAAGTATTCTGAAAGACAAGTTTGGAGTTTTCAACCTTCAACTGCCTATTCTCATCATTGAGATTATATATTTACTCTGCAACCTAACATTATAATCTCAAATTTTGGATGAGTCTTGCAAGATGTGATATATCTATTTTTCAAGATCATACGTTCCCATTTATTTACAATAGTTATAAATTGTAAAAAAAACTTTTATATTTTTTGTTAGAGAACAATTACAATAAATATAGATAGTAAATTATAATATATTTTATCTATCTAAAACAATAAATTATATTTCTTAACGTTTTCTTTTACCTTATAATGATAAATATTTATTTCTATTACAGTCATACCTCTCTATAGCGAATTTTTATATAACGAATTTTTTGGACAACTATATTAAATTTACCCTCGTTATAACGAACTAGCCAATCAAATTCTTTAAAAAATTCACTATAGCTCTATAGCGAAGTTGAAGTTCAGGACATAAAATTCGTTATATCAAGGGTTGACTGTATATTTTATCTATCTAAAATAATAAATGTTGATTTCTAACATTTTTTATGCATCTAAATACATCATCTAAGATGTCTACCTCAATTCTAAAAACCCACTATTAGCAAGGTGCTAATATTTTAACACCTGAGCAGATCAAAGAAATTAAACATCTTAAAAATAAAGTTCTAGCATATATAGGGTGAGTGCTGAGAAAATGGATCAAATTGATTTTTTTTTTAAAAAAAAGTTCCTAAGCAAAATAGATGTAGATTTGGTCATCTGATTCAGATTATTTGTTATTTTCAAAAAAAATTTTTGTCAATTTGATCCTTTTTTCTAGTACTTACCACCCCATATTATAGTAAAGAAGTATCATATTAATAAAGATTGTGTTCATGATATATGAAATGGTTGTGAACGTTTTCAGCAAAATGGAAACCACTTTTTCAAGAAACTTAGGAAAGTACAATCTAACTCATTAGTCCCTTCTTTAAAGAATAATCCCTAAGAAAATAATTATCTAATTTCAGGATCTTTAGATGGTTCCTTTAGGACTGATTCATTTTATGAGTCTATTGAGATTAGTGCACAAGAAAAGCAAAAAAAGAAAAAGAAACCAACAAAGTGGTCTCTTCAGGACCAATCCAAATCCATTTAAAGTTCTTACTTACCTGAGATTTTGGCTAAAACCTTTATCAAAACTCCATCTTAGACATCTCGCATAACATATTTGCTTCAATCAAAATGAATCATATAGAATTGGATGAAACTATATACAAATCAGAAAAGCTCCTAACTCTCAACCCATCCTTTCATTATATTTAGACAAAAAATGCTTTACAGGAGCATTAAGACCATCCGCTAAGTTGGGATGTAATTAACAAGAAGAAAAGGATTGCAGATTTTTATTAATCTCAATTAATCTAGCTTTGGAGATGAGAGTATCATATAGCAGTTTTTCAAGCTTTTCATAGCTCATGCATTTTTTTAATGTCTCATTCTCACTTAACTGCTGTGGATCCTGTGAAATTTTGTCTGGAGCTAATAGATCATCACATTCAGAAGTAATATTTACACAATTCACCTTGAGCTTGTTTTTGACCTTATGCATATTAATTGGGATAAAAAATTCCTTACCATTACACTCTAGTCTCAATTCTCATTTTGATACAAGTAAATCATAATTATATTTATCGAAAGTGTGTTGAATAAGATCAGCATCAGCTTAGGATACTTAACTACTGCAAAATTGGCGTATATAGTACATATGAGAGCAAAATTTACTAGAACATTTCTAATAATTCTAAGTGACTCTGTAGGAGTAGTAGCAATGCCTCTGAAATCATATTTTTCTTTTGTATTAACTTCTAGCTTTGATCGTTTGGCTATATCCTCAGACATAATTGCAAAATTGGCATCAGGATCAACTGTATCCACCAGAATCACTAGATGTTTAATTTTACATTTAACAGTAACAACATCTGTGATAGGTTATATTCTTTGAACAAAATCTATCTCTATAGGACCATCAATGAACTCATCATTCTTAGAATCAGAAGTGTTTTAGAATCATTATTTTGCAGATAATGGAGTATTGTAATAGTATCAAACTTTTCATTAAGCATCTTTTCAATAATTTTTTCTAAGCAGGATTATTCATCCTGTGTCGGGATCTTTGAATTATGCTTTTCCTTC